TGTCTAGTGTGAATGACAGGCTTCTCCTGCCCGCATCCCTGCTGGAGCCACCCACCACACGTGTCTGGTCCCAGGAGCCTGTGAACACCCAGCCTAATGTCACAGTCACAGCAGCCAGCTTCCTCACCCCTCGCCCTGCGGATGTGACCACCCTGGGATGCCACAACTCTGCCTTTCTCCCAAAGCTCCCAGTCCCCTCACCGCTCACCCCACCTGCCCACCCCCACAGTCCCCGGCTTCCAGAAGACAGGCCTGGAAGTAGCACCATCTCCGCCCTGGAGCTCTCCCCTGGTGAGTACCACCCTTGGGGCAAGGTGCTCATCCCAGTGCTAGTTGGCTCAACTCCTGAGCTGGGCCCTTGAACTAGCCACAGGGACTGTGGCCTTCATCTACTGGTTCATTTACTTAAATACTTAATGAGCATTTGATCTGTGGAGGGCTTGGTTCCATGCTCTGGGGACATGGGACGTGGTGGGGAACAAGGCATCAGAGAACTGACATCTGAATTCGGGGAGATCAGACAAAACCTATAAGGAAAGTGTCAAATATATCATAAAGTGATATGTGCTAAGGAGAGAAATAAGAGAAGGGGTTGGGCAGTGAGAAGGGCGGTGATGGCCAGGGATTTAGCTCAGTGGTTCCACCACCTGCCTTGACAGTGCAAGCTCCAGAGTTCGATCCCCGGTACCTCCCCAAAAAACAAAAAAAAACACATTGAAATAGCTTTGGCCAGGAATTTAGCTCAGTGGTTCCAGTGCCTGCCTCGCAAGCACAAGGTCCCGAGTTCAATCCCCGGTACAAAAAAAAAAAAAAGGAAAGGAAAGAGAAGGGCGGTGATGAGAAAAGGCCTCAAGGAGAAAGTCACATTTAGCAGAAACCGACAAGGGGGAGAGAAGGGAGCCAGGGAAGAGTTCTGGACAGAAAGACATGGCTCCAATCAGCCCACCATGTGGCCCTCTCAGCCCAGCTAGAAAGTGCAGTCAGTGTCTTGCCCCTTCCCTCCTCTGCCCCCAGGTGCACCCCATCTGACCAACAGCAGTCCTGGCCACTGGGGGGAGCCCAGGCCACCCACCCCGCCTGAGCTGAGCATTGTGGGGAGTGTCCTGCACAAGCTGCAGACTGCCTTCCAGGAAGCCCTTGACCTTTACCACATGGTGAGCTAATAAACCCAAGGTCAAGGAGGGCTGTGGGGCTCTGGGACTGCCTGGCCTGGCTGGCCCCTGACAGGTTCACACCCCTTGCAGTTGGTCTCCAGCAGCCGGATGAGCACAGAGCAGCAGCAGGCACAGACAGAGCTGACTTCTACCTTCCTGTGGATCTACAGCCAGCTGGAGGCCAATGACTTGCCGATCGGGACTGATGTGCCCCCATCTCAGACCCTACGTAGCCTGGGTCCCCCATCTCCACCACCCCTGTGCCCCCTGGCCAGTCCAGACCTACATGCCCTCCTAGAACACTACTCGGAGCTGCTGGTCCAGGCTGTCCACAGGAAGGCGCGGGGGAACTGAAGAAATAGGTATTTTAAGCAAATAAACTGACAGCTTGAGTAGTTCCTGATGCCCATCCTGTCCATCCACAGAGCCCTTCAGATGAATGCAAGGAGGGAGGGTAGAGGCCATGCTTAGGGGGACTAGCTTGGGAGGGACTCACATTCACTCCATGCCAGGTCCTGTTCCAGGATTCTGGGAACAGAGAACATGGGGCCGGAAATAATGGCCTCCAACATCACTTCTCCCCAGCCCAAGTGTGGTCCTTTCCCAAGAATGCCCAGCTGAATTCCTACTGATGCTCAAAAGCCCATGGAGTTGCTGTCATTACCTTGTACCCAATCGTGGCCACCAGTAGCTGCATTGCTATAACACTGGCTTATGTGCATGGGCCAGGCCCACACTGGATACTGCAAGGTTCAGGCTTGTCATGGAGGGCTGATTGCAACAGGGGAAACTAGACAAACAGGCTCATCCCTCAGATAATCCCAGCAGCAGACCTGGATCAGCTTTCATCCTGTGAGCTGCCAGCTTTGGTACCAGCTCCCCATGCAATAGGCAGCTGGCTACGTGGTATGTCTGCTACTCCTGATCACAGATGCCCCTGCCTTTCCAAGTCCCTATAAAAAGGCAGCCAGGTGTGGTGGCACATGCCTGTAATCCCAGTACTTGGGAGGCTGAGGCAGGAGGATCTCTGCAAGTTCCAGGCCAGCCTGAACTATAAAGCAAGACCCTGTCTCAAAAAAAAATAAAAAGGAAGTCAGGACCCACCCACCCACCCCCCCCCACCCCTAAAAAAAAGGAAGCCAGCAGGGGAGGACCGTCTCCTAACGTACAGTCCCCCCATGTGACTTACCTGTCCTTGTGATCATCGACCATCAGAAACAGGCTCAGAGATGCAGTTTCTTGCCATGGTCCCTGACTGAGACTCAAACTTCAGTTTGCCAGTGGTAGAGCAGGATGCTTCAACATAAAGATGGAGCTCTCTGCTGTCATAACATATGACACACATCAGGACCAGTCATGCAGTTGTTCAGAGACTCCTGCCAGCCCCCAGGTCCCCATCACTGTTGTGCACCTTAGGGGAGAGAGGAACAGGGCAGGCAAAGCATCTGCCATCATGGCACTCACCATCCAGAAAGCAGCAGAGACACAGAAATTAGAGCCACAGCTGGGTAACTAGGTATGCCATAGGGTTCCCTGTGCTGATTGAAGGTTCCCAGAAGGCCTTCCCTCGGGGACAGCTGAGCTGAAGCTTAGAGAACATTTTGGGAACACATCAGATAGAACGGCCAAAGCAAAGGCCCTGGGGGAGATCAAACACGATCTATGTAAAGCAGCAGCAAACCCAGGATGTCTGGAATGCGGTGACCAAGAGAGGGCAGGAGATGAGGTAGGAGTAATGGGGGGTCCACTGGGCAGGATCTTGTTGCATCAAAGACATTTAAGCCAGGAAACATTTCTTCCCCAAGTAAAATCCCTGTTCATGGTCTGGGGATAGGTCCAATATTGCCTGCTTCTCAGGGCCCAGAACTTGTAGTAGGCCTGACCTCTGCTAGAGGCTCCCTCCAAGCCCACAGACCACCCAACATCCCCAGAGCAAGGTTTAGTGTTCACAGACCCAGGAGACCACCTCAGACCTCTGTCCTTCATAGAATTACCTGTCCTTCCAACATATATCATAGTAAAGGTTTCCATTCCAAGTAATAAACGCCTAGCTTACAGGAGTTCAAATTGTAGAGATACTTGTTCCTCAATTATGCCATCACGGTCCTGGCCTCTTCCTCTCTCCCAAGTCACTTTTGCCTTCCAGCTTAGGACCTCACATTTGCAACATGGCTGCCGTAGCATCCAGCATTACATCTTCATTCAACCAGGAGCAAAGGCATGAAGTACAGATATCAGGGTAGCAGGAAAGAAGTACAAATTCTTCCCTAGAGGCCTCCTGTTATGGCTTATATCTAGATGTCCCCACAAAGCTTCTTGTACCTACTCTTCTGGCTTCTTGTTCCCCCTTTGCACCTTGTGCTTGGGGGACTGTACCAGCCCTTGTGGCTTCCCTGGTTCCTGCCTGCTCATAGATGCTCATAGGTGGGGCTTTTGGGAGGTGACAAGATCATGGGTTACGGGTTTATAGTTGGGTGCGATGCTGGGAGGTGAAGGCTGTTGGAAGGTGTGTCACTGTGGGCATAGCTTGAATATATATAGATCTCTATATATCCCTCCTGCCTTGAGCACTTGCTGGGTGAGCTCTTTCTCCTGCTGTGCCACCCTGCCTTGGAGCCAGCCGACTGGTCTGACACCTCTGCAAACTGTGAGCTAAAACAAACTTCTCCCCTTTAAGTTGTGGGTGTTGGGTATTATATCTCAGCAATGAGGGAAGACTTCCATATAGACCAGTCACAGGCACCAGGCACTAGGAATGGAGATTGCATCCCTTTACTCTGACTATCCTTTCCTGGGCATACTGCTGCTGAAACAAAATTGGGTTCTCAGCAAGAGGGGAGGACAACCTAGCATTTAGAGAGGATCCAGCATGTCTGCTACTCCCCTCTTCCCAGTGCCACACTTTTTTTTGTTTTGTTTTTTGTTTTTTGGAGACAAGGTCACTATATATTTCAGGCTGGCCTTGAACTCACTATTGTAGTCCAGGCTGGCCTCAAACTCGAAGCCATCTTCCTGCCCCAACCTCCCAAGGGCTGGAATTACAGGTGTGCCCCACCATGCCCAGTTCCAAGTATTATGCTTTTAAGCCCTAGAAGAATTAGACTGTCTTCCAACAAACCATATGATTAGGAAATCACTGCTGGGGGTGGACTGTGTGTGCATACAGCTTGTGAATTGCCAGGGTCACAGCAGGAAGATGATGGATGGCATGCTCATGTCAGATATTCCAAAGAGGGTTAACAAAGGAATCCTTTAGCCAGCTGGGTGTGGTAGCTGATGCCTGTAATCCCAGCACTTGTGATTCAGGGCCAGCCTGGGCTACATAGTGAATTCAAGCCCAGCAGGAACTACATAGCAAGACCCTGTCTCAAAAGACCGAACCAAAGCAGCATGCGGGGACCAGGGAAGCCATAAGGGCTGGTACAGTCTCCCAGGACTGCTACCAGAGGGGAGCTCATACTACCCCTAAGCACAAGGTGCAAAGAGGGAACAAGAAGCCAAAAGCTATAGGCCTGGAAATTCCACAGGTGGGAGCTGAGGGAGCCAGCATCCTGACCTTACTCTCCATCTTCAGCAGTGGCCCCCATTTCCAGGGCCTACAGGAAGCCAAAGCACTTGGAAGCCCAGGTGAAAGCAGTCCACCAGTCAACAGTAATCGGACCTAGTTGCCCCAGGAGACATGATGGTGGACACAGGCCACCTTCAAAGGAATACAAGATGGGGCCAGGGATTTAGCTCAGTGGTTTCGCCGCCTGCTCTGCAGGCGCAAGGTCCCGAGTTCCATCCCTGGTACCAAAAGAAAAAAAAAAATGGAATACAAGATTGCTCTCCCCCATCTGTGTGCTAGCTCATCCTTCACTGCTCTGGCCCTGTGCCCCACATTGACCCTGATGTCCCTTTAACAGGAACTATTACAACTCCCAGATACTGAGCTGCCAGACCAGCAGCAGGCACACTGGTTGTGGCCACATGAAATTCAGCAGTTGTGAGATGGAGACATGGCTTAAAGCCCAATTTCACAGGCAAATCAGCTGAGGCCTGTGGCTTGCCAAGGCAACTAACCCTAGAGGCTTTTTTTTCTCCTTTGGTGGTACTCAGGATTGAACCAGAGTCTTTGCACTGACCTATATCCCCAGCCCCTATTTATTTATTTATTCATTTATTGCAGACAGGTTCTCACTACATTGCCCAGGCTGGCCTTGCACTTGTGATCCTCCTACCTCGGCCTCCCAGAGTGCTGGGATTATAGCCATGCACGACTACACCTGGCACCCTCAACACTTTCTAATCCCCACCTCTAATGCCATTTATGTGTGCCCCTGCTAGATCCCCTGCTAAGCACTCTCTGCATGTGATCTATGGGGATCTTCAATACAAACCATAACAGGGAGACTTCTTAGTTCCATTTTTCAGGTGAAACTGTAGCTCAGTGAGAAGTGACTTACCCCAAGTCCTACTGAGATACAATGCTAAAGCTCGGTGTGGACAGCCACCCTTGCTTCCCCAAATGATCAGCAAGACTAACTGTTGTGAAGAAATACTCCTTTACCAGGTGTGATGGCACATTCCTTCAATCCCAGCACTCTAGGAGGCTGAGGTGGGAGGATCACAAATTCCAGCCCAGCCTGGGCAATTTAGCAACTTAGCAGTACAATTTCAAGACAAAAAAGAGGGAGGGCCTGGGAATGCAGGTCATTGTGAAGGCTCTGGGTTTAAGCCTCAGCACCGAAAATAACAAAAAACTATTACCATCAAGCCTTTGTACTCAATGTTCCCTCTGCCTGGAACACTCTCCTCCACCTCCTTTTCAGGGGTCATATCCAATCCTTGAACCCCTTTGCTGGATCAGGAGCCTCTTCCGGCCACCAGAGTCCCTCAGGTTTCTTGATCATTCTGGACTGTAACTGCTGTTTCCTCCATGGACTTAAAATAGTCATTTTCAGGGCTGAGCTAGAGTTGGAGCTCAGAAAACTGCTGGGTAAATGATAGAAAGTAACTGCATGGAGAGAGTTCAAAATTCTTAACCCCTAGTTCAGAGGTCAGACAAGGACCAATCTAGAGCAGAACCAGCCAGATTGCTGGGGAAGGGTCCCGGGAGCCCCTGTCTGATGATCCCCTTTGGTTTCCAGACTGCGGGAAGTGGTGTCTCAGGCAGTCACGAGAGGCTGGACTGTTAACAAACCAGTTTTAAAATATGTGATCAGCATGACTAGTGCTTTTGACAGCTTTGGGCATCTGAGGATCAGAGGTAGACGCTTACCTGGAGGTGCGCAGCCTAGATCCTTTTGCCCTTAACTGTCCACTCTGTTGTCCTCCCTACATCCTCTGGAACAGAACAATCAGAGCTGCTCCCTCTCCACTTCCTCAGACAGCTGCTGTGATTTGAATAACCAAGTATGCCAACCCATGTCCGGTGGTGACTGATTTGCCTGGCAAACAGATCCTCAGGTCTTTCTCCCTGCCAATGCTGGAGCCATGTTTCTTTTGTCCACAAACCCAAGAGTTGCCTAGATTCTTGTCCCCCTCCTTGACCCCCACTGGGGGTCCTAGTGCTTGTGGGTCCCTGGAGGCTGCAGAGTTCCAAATTCAAGACTCTGACCTTAGAGGAACAGGATGAACAGCAGGCCCAGCTTAGTTCCCTGAGCTCCTCAAAGAATTTGCATGAAGAGAACAAGGCTCCTACATGGGTTCCCCCTCCCTTCCCACCTGGGACAGTTGTCCTAGGTGTGAGGTCTGAAAGCAGGTGGAAGAGCCAACTCTGTGTGCGGAACCATCTCACCACTGCTGAGGTGATGCCCCGTGTCTTTCTGGTCAGGAGTCGGCGTCCACAGCCACCCAACTGGGGCCACTTGCCTGACCAGCTCCGGGGAGATGCCTATATCCCAGGTGGGCCCCCCACTGGGCATGGAGGTATGGGGCAGGGAAGAGGCAAGGAAGGTACCACCTGTCTGACTTCTCTCTGCAGACTGCAGCAGCCTGGCAGGACCACGAGCACACCAGTCTTCCGGCCTCAGGGACCCTTGGGCAGCGGTGAGTCTACAGCTGGCCCCCAAGAGCAGGCTGTTTCATCCCTGCCCAATCGAAGCCCTGGGACCTGTTTCTCTCAGCTAGGAATGCCTTTCCTTCTCTTGCAGTGAGCTCACAGGTTTCAGATCCCACATTCCCAGGGTAGGCAGCTGTAGGCCCTGCCCCATTATGTCCAATGGGGTACAGCAGGATTCCAGCCAACAAGTGGATGGTGATCTGCTTTAACATTGGACAAGGTGACAGAAGCAGGCTGGGGAGTGAGGGATAGGAAACCTCTCAGAAGGGCTATTTCCACTGTGTGTGCATTGGAAGAACAAAGGCACTAGCTGGAATGAGAAATGCTCAAGGTTATTTCAGTCATTTATTGAGAACCAGGCACTATTCTGGGTACTGGATGTTTACAGGATGTAAGACTAAAATCACTCTTTTATAGAGCTTATTCCTAGAAGGGGCTGGAGGCATAGAAAATGAAATTAGGAGAGTGTGTTAAGAAAGTGTTGGAGGGGCCGGGTATTTAGCTCAGTGGTTCCACCGTCTGCCTCGAAAGTGCAATGTCCTGAGTTTGATCCCCGGCACCAAAAAAAAAAAGTGTTGGAGGGTAGCACTTGCTATGGCACACACTTGTAATCCCACCCCACCACTTGGGAGGCTAAGGCAGGAGAATCACCAGGAATTCAAGGCCAGCCTAGGCTACATAGTGAGTTCAAGGTCTACATGAACTGCATAGCAAGAACCTGGTCTCAAAAAACAAAACCATAACAAAGAGACCTGGGGTTTTTCAAGGGGAAGACCTTGGGGAGAGGGTAGCAAGTGCACACATTAGTCACAGGCTTGTTTTCCTGGTCCTCCCTATCTATGGATACTCTTTATTTAAACACAGAGGAAGAACAGTTTGCAAAGTAACAAAGACTAGGCAGGGTCCAGTGGGAGGAGCTAATTCCTGGATCCCTCTGCCAGGCCACACAGGGAACCCTGGCATCTGCTCCCAGGAGCCCTGGGACACTCGGCTGCCCTCTCTGCCCCAAGGCCTTCCCGCTGCAGCGCATGCTAACCCGGCACCTCAAGTGCCACAGCCCAGCACGCCGCCACGTGTGCCACTGCTGTGGCAAGGGCTTTCACGATGCCTTCGATCTCAAGCGCCACATGAGGACTCACACTGGTGAGCTGTGGCAGGGACAGAGGGGGCTGCCGGGCGCCAGGCAGGGATGGTGCTAAAATGAAATGGAGGAAGGTGCCCAGAAGACAGTTGCCAGTGTGTATATGGGGCAGGGATGCAGCCAACGGGAGGCCTGAGATATGGTCTGCCTCACACTCCAGCAGGAGGGTATAGCACAACACCAAGGTAGGGGCCAGGCAAGAGTGCTGGTTCAGAATTCATTCTCAGGGTCAAGGATGCTAAGGATCATCTCCTTCCCTGCCCCTCTTCCAAGAGGAAGAAAATTCCTGAGGAAGGAAATTCCTGATGAAGGATAGTAGAGATACAGGGGTCTGGCCCATGTCTGCATTCTGTGGGAGTAGCAGGTGATGGATCATAAAAAGAAAAGTCTGATGAACTTGAACAGGAACAGGAAATGTTCACTGCTGGAAAGCAAGGTGAGGAGTCTTTAGTCCAGAAGCCATTGCTCTCTCCGTCCTGCCCCTTCTCTGCACCTTATTTTCGCAGGAATCCGGCCATTCCGATGCGAAGCTTGTGGGAAAGCTTTCACACAGCGCTGCTCCCTTGAAGCACATCTTGCAAAAGTGCACGGGCAGCCTGCTAGCTATGCTTATCGGGAGCGTCGAGAGAAGCTGCATGTATGTGAGGACTGTGGCTTCACCAGCTCACGCCCAGATGCCTATGCACAGCACCGCAACCTGCATCGTGCTACTTGAGACAGTACACCAGCATCCTACCCATGAGGCAAATAAATACAAGAAACATGCGCATAGAACCTGGCATTTATTACAAGCGGAGGAGGGATGGGTCACTCGGTCCAGCGGTGGCCGCAGTGTGGGGCAGTGCATACATAGTACAGGCGCATGGCGTCCTGCCAAAAAAGATACAGGGTCAGACAAGGTCTGGACCCAAGGGACAGAACAGTATGGGACCCTCCACCCACTGGGACCTCACTCCAAAAGAACAATCAAGGGATCTTTCCCAGTAGGTAAGGGTTTAGCTCAGGATTTGGGAAAGGTTGGTTCATCCCAATACGCTATTGGTATTCCCATCTCCTGGGAAGGGCAAGCTCTACCTAAGAAGCTATCCTGGGACCCACCTCAGCACGGGCACTGTGTGACTGGAAGAACACCGCCTCCTTGTGGCCGCACCTGAAGGGGATGGCTCTGTCACTAAGGTCTTGATATACCTTTCCCTCCTCCCTATGCCGGTGAAGATGAACCACCCCCTCTCCCCAAAACAGCTGCTTGCTCACTTCTGGCACGGGTGGTCCTCAGTCCGTGGCAATGTGGGGTCCTGGGACACGTCAGCGATTATCTGGGTCAGTTCGCTGCAGGGATGGGGGTGAATAATTATGCTTACTGAGCCTCCCAACACCCTCTCTCCAAAGCCCTGGTCTCGTCACTCACTCCACTTCGTGCGTGATCTTGTTGACGTAGATGCAGCTGTTGTCTGCTTCCTGCTGGTAATCACAATTTCGGCACTACGAGAGTGGCAGAAAGGGAGTCATTAAGAGATCCCCAGCAAGCCAGGTGTGATAGTGCACGCCTGTAAGCCCAGCACTTGGGAGGCTGAGGCAGGATCACCACGAATTGAAAGGCAGCCTGGGCTACATAGTCTCCTCAAGCCGAGGCTGAACTACATAGCGAGACCCTGTCTTGGAAAACAAAAAAACAAACAAAAGAGATCCCCAGCAGGACTGGAAGGGCAGGCAGGCTGATCCAGGAAAGCGATGGCTGCTGCTGGATGGAGTCTCAAGATTGAGTCACCTTGCTGATAGACAACAGTGCAGGCTCACTCGGGGAATAGCCAGGAGGCGAGAACAGGACACGATGGGAACGAACAGAGTTTGGGTCACATGGGGAAGGGTAGCCACGTAGGGAACTAGTGGACAGGTTAGAGACCGCGGGGTCGCCCCGTGGGCTCGCGCTCACCGCGTACAGCAGAATACGGTTCTCCTTGTCTTCTTTGGGGTACAGCATGTTGTTACTGTGGGAAGAGGTCAGAGATCACCCCTGGAGTCATGCCTTACTTACTTTCCACACCTGTTTCCCTAGCCTTACCATTCCTGGCAGAATCGAATACCCACGAAGCCCGGCTCGTAGGTCCCGTCTGGTTCCATAGCTACGTAATGCCCGCCAAGTCTTCTGCGCTTGCTCCGCCGTGCTACAGGTCGCGGGAAGAGTCAAGACTAGTTCAGCGCCAAAAAGGGGCGGGGCTATGCCCTTGTATCGGCTCTCAGAGGCCTTGTGTTTCGGGTCCCTTCGCACTGAGGTTTGGCTGAATGCTTGCTTCAGTCTTTTGATATCCTATGGTGTTTACTTCCAATTTCTGGAACTCATCTCTCCAGTTTGCAGGATGATGGATCCGGTACAAGAGCCGGGAATATTATGTACAACGTAATCCGCAAGGCGCTAAGAGCAAATACAAGAAGCCATTTAAATGGCCCTCAGGCTATTGCACATGCGCCGAATTTACTCTCCGCGGACCGAGATAACTACTGCCAGTCCTTCCATTTGGCTTCAGTCTTCTCCCGTAAACCCGTAAACCACGAAAGGCCTCTTGGGATTGGCTGGATTTACCCAAGAATTCGGGAGAGCCCGCTTCCGGACCGAGAAAGGACGACGGCGATTGGCAGGTCCTTCTAGCGGGAGCGCGCAGATTGGGCAATCCCTAGAGCAAGGGGGCGGGGCTGATATCCCAGAAGCAGCGGCGGCGGCTGCGGGGCGGGTGTGAGGCGGCTGACAGGCGGCTGACCTGGGCTGCGGGACGCAGCAGGGCGTGGCGAGATGGAGGTTACGGGGATGAAGGCCCCTACGGTGACGGTTTTCATCAGCAGTTCCCTCAATAGTTTCCGCTCTGAAAAGCGGTACAGTCGCAGCCTCACGATCGCTGAGTTCAAGGTGTGGCCGTGGGTGCGGGGTCCGGAGGAGCGGGATAAAGAAGAAATGGGGGGCTTCCCGAATGCAGGGAGGGGCGTGAGAGCGAGGTGGCTGGGCCCGGGATTATCTGAGGTTGCAAGGACCGTGGACCGAACCTCGTGGGTTGGGGCTAGAACGATCCTAAGAGTCCACAGAGTAGAGGTGGAGCCAAGGGGAAAATTCGATGCTCCTTAGAGTAGGGGCCAGAGCAGAGTGAGCAGTGTCCAGAAGGGACAGGTCCTGGTGGGTCGTGAGTGATGGGTCTTTTGGGAAAACTTGGTTGTTGATACAGGGCGTGGAGCCGCAGGACAGAGGATGGGTCCCTGACAGGCTTTCTCCTCATCCTTACCCCTTCCCGCAGTGTAAACTGGAGTTGGTGGTGGGCAGCCCTGCTTCCTGCATGGAACTGGAACTGTATGGTGCTGACGACAAGTTCTACGGCAAGTTGGATCAGGAGGATGCACTGCTGGGCTCCTACCCCGTAGATGATGGCTGCCGCATCCATGTGAGGCCACTCTACCTGGGACCCCACACCTCACTCACTCATTCATTTATTCAGCAGATATTTTGCTGTGCTTTACCCTGTGTGATAACCAGTATAGGCGCTACCTTCATGAAACCCCTTTTCCTAGTCTGTTGTGGTGAGAGATGGGCCCCATCACCAGCCTGTGACCACCTAGAGTGGTATGGGCTGGGAAGGGGAGGGCCTAGGGATTGGAACCACTGAGAAAAGATGCCTGACTCCACCTGGAAGTATCAGAAAGGGCATCTTGTATGAGGCGAACATGATAACCACTACACTACGGAAACTAGAAAGGGCATCTTGCAGGAAGGAACACTTGAGCTGAGACCTAAAAGATGAGCAGAGGACACCCAGGAGAAGAGGTAGGAAGGGCATGACAAGTGGAGGAAAGTACAAGAGAAGGTGTACAAAGCATGAAGTGAGCCATGGTAAGCAGTGAAGCCAGACAGACTGGGAGAAGCCACAACACAGAGGACCTCTGTGTGCATCAGCTCATAGCATTCTTTCTCTCTTCAGATATCTACCCCTCCTCAGTCTACACCAGCCACATTGCTCTTTAGACATCCTAGGTGAGCTGCACCTCAGGGCCCCTACATACACCATATATGTGCTCCACCTGAGTAGTTCTCTTCAACATGTGCAGATATGGCTCACCCCTTCTTTCCAATCTTGACTTAAAACGTCACCTGAGTGACACCTTCACCAACCTGTGTATAAAATTTTAACCTCATCCCTTTTCGTATTTTTTGCTATATTTTAGGCTTTTGTTATCAGTCCTTACCGCCATCTGACATACTCTGGATCGTTAATCATTGGTCTGGTTTGTCATCTGTCTCCCTGAATAGAATGCTAGAAGGGCAGATAGTTTCTTCTTTTTGACTGTCATGTCTCCAACACAATCCTCTGGCTTAGCACAGAGGATACTTGGTGAATCATTGTTGAATGATGAATTGTTTTGTTTTGTTTTTCTGGTATCGGGGATCAAACTCAGGACCTTGTGCTTGCAAGGCAGGCACCGTGCCACTGAGCTAAATCCCTGGCCCTGTTGAATGATGAATTGAATCCATTAAATAAATCTGGGAACGTAGTATAATTATTTCCATTTTTCAGATGAGAAAATTTAGCTTCAGGATGGAATTTACTTTTTTTTTTTTTGCAGTGCTGGGGATTAAACCCAGGGCCTTATGTATGATAGGCAAGCACTGTACTACTGAGCTACATCCCCGAAGGAATTTACTCTCTTTTTTGTTTGTTTGTTTTTTAAGAGTAGGAAAAATTTATTGAAAGAAAGAAAGCTTCTGTCTAAGACAGAAGGGACCAGAAAGTGGGTTGCCCCAAGGAATTTACTTTCTTAAGAATGAACTGTTGCTAGATTTTTTTTTTTTTTGTACTGGGGATTGAACCCAGGGCTTTGCACTGAGCTATGTCCCCAGCCCCCCCCCCCTTTTTTTGAGACAAGGTCTCACTAAGTTGCCAAGCAAGACTCCTGAACTTGTGATCCTCTTGCCTCAGCCTGCTGAGTGCTGGGATTACAAGCATGCGCCACCATGTCCAGCTTGTCACTAGAATTTTGAACTTGATCTGTATGACTTCAAGCATTGCCATGCTCGAAGAACTAATTTTTTTCTCTTTCATTTATTCATTAACTGTTGATTGCATCTGTATGGTCCCAGGGGTTTAGTTGTGAGCCACATCTGAGGTTTCTGGTTTAGCTCTGTTCATTGTGTGAGGCAGCGGTAGCCAGATGATCACAGGACCAAATGTAGAGTCAGGAGACGAGGGCCATACATGAGTTCTGGGAGCTAGGAGACTATGGTGGGGTACCTGGCCCATTAGTGAGGTCTGGGAGGGCTTCCTGGAGCAGGTGCTGCTTGAGTAGAGACCTGAAGAATAGAGTTAGTTGAAGAGGGGGACACACCATGTGCAGACACCCTGAGGCAGGCGGGAACACAGTGGATACCAGGGATTGTGGCAGAAGGAGGTAGAAACTGGCGAGAACTCTGAGCCATGAGGACCTTACTGTGATGTATGTATTCACAGGCTCCCTTAGGCTGTGGGTGGGAGAAGCCTGGAGGAAGGAGGAGTGGGGAGACCAGGGAGGGCTGCTGTGATAGTGCAGAGGAGGCGATGAGGCCAGGACTCCGCTGGGCCGAAGACAAAGTTGGGGCTGACAGGAGCGGCCTCATCCTAGGGATGCAAGTGGGTCAGGGCTGGGCAGTGGGTCTGCAGGTCTCATCCAGATGATACAGGTAGAAAAGTCTCTGATGTCCCAGGCCATTCAAGGAAGATGGTCCTGGAGGTGGAACCTGGGGGATTTTTGTGTTTTTCTAGAATTCTTTTTCTGCTTATAAATACCACCTACATTCATTGTTTAAAATAACAACTTCAAACTTATAAAAATCACTGACAGAAAATAAAAATTCTTAGTCATCCTTGTCCTAGAGGTAAGGGCTATTTCCCTTTTGCCATGTATCCCAGTGGTTCAGGCCAAACACCGGGGGTTATCCTTGACCCATTGACCGGGGAATCTCACTTCTTCCGCTCCACTCTATTGCCCCACCCTGGCCCAGACTCCACCCTCTCAGCCTGGACACCCCAGTGCCCTCCTCCCTGGTCTCCCTGCTCCTGGCTCTGGCTCTACAGTCTCTGGCCAGGGGGAGCCTGTGGACCCTTGAGTCACACGGGAGCCCTCTCTGCACCTCACTCCAGGTAAACTCCAACGTCCACACGAGCTGTTGTCTCTGCACTCCCTCCAGCTTGCTCCACCCACACACCTACGCTGGCCTCTGCTGCTCCTGCAGAAGGGTCAGGATGTGCCTGCCTCTGGCCATTACACCTTCTGTCGCTCTCCTTCGGGCCTTGGCTCAGATACCCTGTCCTTTCCTGCCCTGACCACCTCTCCGTGTTCTTTAGCTTCTTCTCTGTTGGGTTTTTCTCCCTAGGCCTTGCCATCACCTGGTGTTTAATAAACAGACCTGTTCATTTGTTTATGGCTGATTTGCCTTAGGGCAGGGGTTGTCTGTTTTTGCACCATGTCCCCAGTGTCCATTTAAGGGCCCAGTGGCACCTTGCGAGAACTCTATGAGCAGTGAGTGGCTGAATATTGGGGTGGCACAGGAGGAGATTCTCCTGGTTCTGGAGAATGGGACCAGCCTAGGAGGAACCAAAGGGCCTTAGAGGGGCCCTGAGAGCTGTGAGCAAGCCTGACCTTCGTTGATGAGGTTCAGTGACTTTAGGGCCATCAGTGATGCTGATGCCAGCATGTGGGAGATGTTGGAGGGTAGACACAGCCTCCAGGGGTTTGGATGGGGGTGAGAAAGGGGAGATGGTCAGTGTGGTTATCTACTCTGCTGAGCTCAGGAGAGGAGAGAGGCCTGGAATAAAGATGGGTGGAGGAATGTGTCTTCTCCTAAATCGGGGAGACCTGAGTCTATAGAACGCTGTAATGTTCAGCTGTATCCCAGTGTCCCAGGCCTCACTGGTTAGACCTTGATCCCCCTGTCCCTCACCACAGGTCATTGACCACAGCGGCGCCCGCCTCGGGGAGTATGAGGATGTGTCCAAGGTGGAAAGATACCAGATATCACAAGAAGCCTATGACCAGAGGCAAGGTAGAGAACACGGGGTGGGAGGGATGGGGTGTGTGGTGCCCAGAGCCAGTGTGTATGGGTGGAGCGGCAGGTGGGACAAGACAGGGGCATCACAGGGTTCTGATGGAGTGGGCAGTGGGCGTAGAGTGTTTGGGAGGATGGAGCAGGGTGGGGTGAGGTTGTTGGTGGGGACAGACGGCATGGGAGAGCCGTTGAGGTAGACATGGCACGTGGAGACGGGGCTGGGAGGTGTGGAGGGTATGGGAAGGCACATGGGGGCTTGGGAAGGTGGAAGGAGGATTGAAGGGAGAGGGTTGGGGGAACAGGTCGAGATGTTGCATGGGGTAGGCAGATGGGGTGTGGGGGCAGAACATGGTATGATACGGACACGGCAGTATGGAATCAGTGCAGGCCTCTGGCTCACATCAGAATGTATGGTGAGTGGCAAAGACGAGGTGCTCCAGGGCCTGGATAAAGGTGAATGGGAGACATATAGGGAAGAGAGACGTATAAGAAGATGGGGAGCTGGGCATGGTGGCACAAACCTATAATCCCAGTACTTGGGAGGCTGAGGCAGGTGGATCACTACCAGTTTGAGGCCAGCCTGGGCTACATAGTGAGTTCAAGGCCAGCCTGAAGTACATAGTGACACCCTGTCTGAAAAAAAAAAAACAACCAGACGATGGGGTCATGTTAAGGATCAGAGCATCCATTAGTTTCTGGACTATAGGGAGGCAAAATCCTGGGGAGAAGCGGGGCTTGGTTGATGGATGGCCCTTTAGGGTAGCAATGACTCCATCAATATTGGCCCCTGTAGTTGGACACGGCCCCAGAGATCAGGTCTCACCCCATTCCTCACCTAACCCACAGACACAGTTCGCTCCTTCATGAAGCGCAGCAAACTTGGCCGATACAATGAAGAGGAGCGGGCACAGCAAGAGGCTGAGGCCGCCCAGCGCCTCATGGAAGAGAAAGCCCTAGCCAGTTCCATCTCTGTGGGCAGCCGCTGCGAGGTGCGGGCGCCTGGGCAGTCCCCTCGCCGGGGCACCGTCATGTATGTAGGTACGTGGCCCACAGGACTGCAGGGTCCCAAGGGTGAAAGGGACACCATTCATTCAGTAGAGTCTCTGAGGTGGCCATTGCCAGGGCCCTGGTCCTCAAAGACATCCCAGTCACATTATCTGACAGTGACAACCTAGGGTGTTGGTGGCAGGAAGTGGGAAGCACAGAGCTACCATTCAACTCAATCATTAAAGTGTATAGTTCAAGCCAGTGAACATCTGTACTCAGGAGACTAAGGCAAGAGGTTTGTAAGTTCAAGACCAACCTCAGTAACAATAGCATGACTTCCTCAGAAAAACCAAAAATAAAAGTGTACAGTTTATTGGTTTTCAGTGTATTCACAGAACCGTACCATTATTGCCACAGTTTCAGAACACTAAACACCATAACCATTAGCAGCTACCTCTCATTTTTTGTTTGTTTGCTTGCTTTTTGAGACAAGGTCTTGCTATGTAGTTCAGGGTCCTTGAACTCACTGTATAGGAACTTGCAGTGATCCTCCTGCCTCGGCCTCCTGAATGCTGGGATTACAGGCATGTGCCACATGCCTGGCTACTTCCCATTTCTGAAACCAATTTCCCCCATCATAAGCAGCCACTAATGTATATTCTTTCCCAATAGGTCTGCCTATTCTGTTTGTTTTGTTTTGTTTTTTTGGTACCGGGGATCGAACTCAGGACCTTGCGCTTTCAAGGCAGGCGACGGAACCACTGAGCTAAATCCCCAGCCCTGTTTTGTTTTGTTTTGAGACAGAGTCTCACTCCATAGTTCAGACTGGCCTTAAACTCATGATAATCTTCCTGCCTTAGCCCCTCAAGTCCTGGGATTATAGCTGTGTGCACACCCAGTGATTTGCATATTCTGGATGTTTCCTGTAAATGGAATCATATAATATATGTTCTTTGTGTCTGGCTGCATTCACTTCACATTTCATCTGTATTGTACATGTATTAGCATTTCAGTATAGCTACATGAGATTATACTGTGTGGGTACACTAGGTTTTATTTATTCATCAGTCATTGGACATTGGAGTCATTTCCACTTCTTTGGCTATTATGAATGATGCTGTCATAAAGTCATAAACATTCTTGTATAATAAGGTTTTGTTTTTTGTTTTTGATAGTTTTGTTTTTGTTTTTTTTTTTTGGTACCAGGGATCAAACTCGGGACCTTGTGCTTGTGAGGCAGGTGCCGGAACCACTGAGCTAAATCCCCAGCCTAGTTTTTGTTTTTTGAGATGGAGTCTGTCATTGTAGTTCAGATTGGCCTTCCACTCAGTATGTAGCCCAGGCTGGCCTGGAACTTAGGGCAATCCTTCTGCCAGGCGTGTGCCCTCTTGCCCAGCTTGTATAATAAGTTTTTAAATGGGTGTTTTCATTTCTTCATACATGGGAGTGGAATTGATGGTTCAGGTGGTAGTCTGTGCTTAACTGTTTTTGTGTGTGTGTGATGTTGGGACTAGAACCCAGGCCCTTGCATGGAGTAGACTAGTGCTGTAGTTCTGAGCCCCTTGCCCAGCCCTGTACTTAGCCTTTTGAGGAACTACCAGCCTGTTTTCCACAGCAGCTGCATGTTACATTCCCACCAGCAGGGTATGAGTCCAATTTCTTCACATCCTGGCCAGCACTTACCTGTCATTTTTCTTACAGTCATTATGATGAATATGAAGTGGAACATCATTTTTTGTTTGTTTGTTTATTTGTTTTGAGATGGGGCCTTGTGTGTTCAGGCTGATCTTGAACTCATGGGCTCCGGTGATCCTCCCATCTCAGCCTCCAGAGTATCTGGCACTATAGACATGCACCCCCATGGCTGTTTTTAATTTGCACTTCTTTGGTGGCTAATGATGTTGAGCATCTTTTTTTTTGTGGTATCAGGGATCGAACTCAGGACCTTGTGCTTGCAAGGCAGGTGCAGCAGGCATCACTGAGCTAAATCCCCAGCCCTGTTGAACATCTTTTTATGTGTCCTTGGCCATTTCTACATCTTCTTTAGAGAAGTCTATTCAGATCTTTTCCCCATTTTCCAATTGGGTTTTTCTTTTTGTTGTTGGTTGTGCATTATTTGGCTAGGAATTCCCTAACAAAATACCACTTAAACAACAGAAATTGATATCTCACAGTTCTGGAAATGGAAGTCCCTTGGCAGGTCTAAGGCCTTCTCTGAGAGTGTAGCAGCACCATCTTCCTTAGGTTTTTACAACAACCTCTCTGGCTGGCAGTACCAAGAGAATAGCGGGGGCAGGGCGGGGAGACCAGCAAAGAGGCCACCATCTTGGTCCCAGCAGGAGTGGGAAAAGGTCCTGGGTGGGACCAATGGAGTACCAAGGAGTGCTTTTGCAGGACAGGCTTCCTACTCAGGCAGCAATGAATATGGGGCAAGCTGTGTCCAGAGGTTTCACTAGGATTTCTCCCCTGGGCAGGACTCACAGATTTCAAGCCTGGCTATTGGATTGGTGTCCGCTATGATGAACCATTAGGGAAAAATGATGGCAGGTAACAAGCATTCCCTCTGTGGTGTGTGTGTTGTGTGTGTATGTACGCATGTGCATGCATGTGTGTGCCTGTGTGCTGCTGGGGTGGCACATGGAATGGGATCCCCTGACCAATGGCCCCTCCACCTGCCCTGCAGTGTGAATGGGAAACGCTACTTCGAATGCCAGGCCAAGTACGGCGCCTTCGTCAAGCCATCACTTGTGACAGTGGGAGATTTCCCAGAGGAAGACTACGGCTTGGATGAGATGTGACACCCAAGAAAGGCCTCTCTGTTCCAGCTCCTAACTCAGCCGCTCATTGCCCCTGCCTCTGTGTGCCCGTGGCCATCTCCTCCTGACCCCTTTTTAATTTTATTCATCTTTCCCTTGCCATTGATTTTTTGAGACTCCAACATTAAATTCTTCAAAAACCTGGGAAGTACAAGAAGAACTCAGTAATTTTAGAAGGAGCTGGAGCAGCTGGGTCAATTAAGGTATAATAGCCTAGGCAAAGTAGAGGGTGGGCAGGTTGAGTATTTGTCCTTTAAGTGGTAGTTTGAGGCACATCAGATTGTTCTTTGTCCTTTTCTACTTAACATAAGGTTCTGCTGCTGTAACAAAGAGGCCCAAAATACTACTGGGTTAAATAAGTTGAAAGCTTAATTCTTTTTCATATAAAGTTTCATGGAATCACCAGGAGCCAATATAGTGACCCCAGTGTGTCAAGGGTTAGTCTCTTTATGTCTCACAGCTCTCCCGTCTTCTCATGATTCCCACCCAATCTGCTCCAACCACCAGAAAGAAAAGGAGGAAGGATAACCTTTGTCTTTAAGGAAGATGTACAACTCAAAACTTGCTAGTTGATTAGCCAGAAGTCTGTCACATGGCCACATGTAGCTGTAAAGGAATCTGGGAAGTTGAGTTTTTATTTTGGGCAGCCTTGTCCTTAGCCAAATATCAGAAGTTCCTGTACTACAGAAGTAGGGAGAAGGGATGTTGAGGCTGAACAAGTACTGTAGTCCAGCCACACTCCCTGTAGGTGGGGGATCTTATCTGTTCGTGTAATATTTTGAAGAAGAAAGAAATCAAAAGACTAGGGTAACATAAAGCCATTCCTCATAGCATTATAGAGCCTGGCAAAGAACACTGTACCTTCAGGTAAGTCACAAAAATGTGCATCCTGTGTATTCTGGGAAGCCTGAATTTCGTCGTGCATGTGTCTACATGTACAGTAATAGTCCTTCCTCAGCTCCTAGAAAGGATTCTTGGTAGGAAGTCTATTTGGGAAACTGCTTAATTGTTGCAATTACTTAATTACAACTTTTAGAGAAGGGGGAAGCAGCAGTGTAAACAACTACATTTAAGAATGAGGTAGCTGGGTATTGTGGTGCATGCCTGTAATTCTAGCACTCAAGAGGCTGAGGTAGGAGGGTCAGGAGTTCAAGGCCAGCCTGGGCTACATAGCAATGCCCTGTCTCAAAAGAATGAGACAAACTGCCTGATTGCTGAGAGATTCTCAAGGGAAGTGCTCACATCCATGTGCAGTCTGATGTTTTGTATTCTTACTCCCACTACAAAGTACATGGACCTGCTTAGATACATGGAATACCCACACACCCACATTCACACACAAACACAGCGAACACTAAAATACACAGCTGCACTCAGACACAAGAGGTCCTCTGCAGAATCAGTGCATGCTGACTCTCATGGGAGAGCCTCACACCCACCCAGACACTCGAGACCAACATTAGATACCCATGAGGGTAGATGTATAGAATACACCTGTGCACCCCCCACCTACACACGGTCAATAAAGTTCACCTACCAAAAAAGAAAAAAGAGTGCATTTAAAAAAGGATGCTGGGAGGGCCAGGGATTTAGCTCAGTGGCACAGCGCCTGCCTGGCAAGAGTGAGGCCCTGAGTTCAATTCCCAGTACCAAAAAATTAAAAAGAAAAAAGGATACCAAGGCTTTGGCCCCCTTGATGTCAGAGTTGTCAAAGTGAGGAAGATGAGAGGAGGTGTCCCAGGCTTCCCAGCCAGCACCTCCTGTATTAGCTTTCAGTCACTGTGACAAATACCTGAGGTAAACAAAAGGGGACAGGAGGCTGCAGTGTAGCTCAGTGATGAGAGTACTTGCCTAGCATGCCTGACGGCCTGGGTTTGATCCCAGCACTGAAAAAAAGAAAAAATGAGAAGGAGGCTTTATTTTGGCTCACAGTCTCAGAGGTTTCTGTCCATGGTCACTTGACCCTGTTGCTTCTGGGCCTGTGGTGGAGCAGCACATCATGGCGGGGAGCCTGTAGTGGAGCAGACCTGTTCACCTCATGGCAGCTGAGAAGTGGAGAAACACGTGAAGACGGCTACGGTCCCAATGTCCTCTTCAAGGGCAGCCCCTAGTGACCTAAGTTCCTGCAGCTAGGCCTCTCCTAAAGGTTGCACCACTCCCAGTAACACCCCAAGTTGGTGACCAAGCCTTCAACATATGAGTGTTTGGGATATATTTAAGATCCAATCTTTATTTATTTAGGGTTTTTTGAGACAGTCTCACTATGTTGTTCAGGCTGGCCTCCAATTTGCAGTGATCCTCCTGCCTCAGCCTCCCAAGTGCTGGGATTACAGGTGTGCACCAATATCCCGGCTAATTCAACCCTTTTGAGAATAAAGAGAACCTTGCTAGATTTCATAAATCTTAAAGCACTGCAGATGGAAAACAGTGAATCCCCAGGCCAGGGGTTTAGTTCAGTGGTTCTGCCGGCTGCCTCACAAGTGCAAGGTCCCAAGTTCAATCCCCAGTATAAAAAAAAAACAAAAAAAACCCCCAAAACAGTGAATGTCCAACACTCTGCTCACATTTTAAAAACTACTTTTTCAGCCTCCCTGTGCATATTAGGTTTGATACTGGGAACACCCATGGCTTGGATACAGCCTTTTGCTTGCATATTAAGGCAAACAAGTGAACGAATAATTACAGAACACTGTTTTGTTGTTTTGGTTATTTTGAGACAGGGTGTCTCACTAGTTCCCAATGCTAGCCTCAAACCAATCCTCTTTCCTCATGTTTGTGATTGATTGACAGGGTCTCCCTATGTAGTCCAGGCTAGCCTTGAACTCACACAATCCTCCTGCCTCAGCCTCCCAAGTACTGGGATTACAGGCATGCTCTACCATGCCCAGAAAGTTTTTTAATGTTATATCCTGTTATTAATAAGGTTGTGGCAGTGGGCAAGGAGGAATAAAATCAGATCAGCCAGGTGAAGGTGCTGGGGAAAGGATCTGTGGCAGGAGTAACACTGGAATACGAATCACTTGAACAAAAATGGACAGATTGAAAGCGCAAGGACCCGAGTTCAATCCCCAGTACCAAAAAAAAAAAAAAAAAAAAAAACTGGACAGGACTTTCTAGGCCTGAACTTAATCCCTTTGGTGATTCCTGCTGATCAAAAACCTGATTCCTGTGCTGTACAGAGTTTACACTAATTTTTTTGCCAATTACAAACTTGGGATAACTGAAACCGACTCTGAAGACAGCCCAGATTCAAACACCAGCTCTCCCTGACCAGCCAAGTGACTGAACGTAGGTATTCCTACCCTCTAGGTTTCACCTTTCTTCCTATAAAGTGGGCTGATGGCGCCAGCATGGTGGCATATGAGGTTGAAGCAGGAGGATAGCTGGGAGTTCAAGCCAGCATAGACTACATTGTGAGTTCAAGGCCGGCCTGAACTAAATAGTGAGACCTTGTCTCAAAAAAACCAAACAACAACAACAACAACAAAAAACCAAACACCCGACTGGGGATGTAAGCTCACTGTTAAATCCCTGGGCTTAATCGCTAGTATGGGGGAGGGGGTTATAGTACTCACCCATAGGTAAATGTTTACTCATTATTAGCTGTAGGTACAAATATATATGTGTGTATATATATACAATATTCCAGTTATTGTGCTGGTTTCATTTAATCCTCACAGTGACCCTGCCTCCAGTTTCTTTACTGTTTCCTTTCCCCAACCTATTCCACCCTCTCCGTGGGTTCAACTTCTCTGCAAAGGATTCCCACAGGTCCCCATGACTCCCAAGTGCCCGCAATCTCTATCTCCAGCCTTGGTTATAACTAGCCAGCCGTCACCAGGGGGCAGCAGCGTACAGGTCAGCCCGTATGTGCGCGGGCGCCCAGCGCATTGTGGGTCGCCTGGTCTCACCAATGGTTTAAATTTAGCGAGAGAACTTCATTTCCCAGAAATCTGTGCAATACTTCCACCATATTTGATTATAGCCCCACTCCTGGCGGCACTAGGGGTTGTAGAGTGAGATTTGGCAATGTATCAAGCTAAGGACGGTCTTGCGCAGGCGCGAGCGGCCCTCCGACCTCGCACACGCTTAGTGACCTAGAGGTCCCGCTGGAGCTGACTTTTTGGCCACAGTGGAATAAAAGAGAAGACCTCGCTTGGCCTTAAGTATGGCAAGTCGGCCTCCTTGCCTTCCCGCTTTCACGCATCTCAACCAGTCACTTTCCCTGGTTCCTCCTTAGCCCTCAAGGCGGGTCAAGATGCAAGAAAGACTGTTCTTTTTGAAGGAAAATAAAGGTCCTTCCACGCTTCTTTTTTTCCCAGTCGGTACAGGGCCTTCACGTTGAGCTGCATCCCCAGGAACCCCCCCCCCTTTTAAAATAGGATCTTGCTAAATTACTCAAACTGCGCTCAAATTTGTCATTCTCCTGCCTCAGTTCTCAGAACAAATAATGAGTAAGCATTTACCTGTGAGCCCAGTACTGGCCCCACATTGGGGATCCAGCCCACAGCCTTCACACTGAGCTACATCCCCAGCCCTGGGATTACAGGGCTGTGCCACCATGCCTGACCCATCTTCTCTTTTTCATTCTTCATAGGATTTTTAAAAACTACTTAGCTTAGTGGCACCGCACCTGTCTCGCAAGTGCAAGGTTCTGAGTTCAGTACCAAAACAACAACAACAACAAAAACTACTTACTAAAGGAGTTCAAAATTAGAACAATATAAGGACCTCCTAAATAACCATGACCCAGTTTCTGTAACTTTCAACATATTACAATCTTGTTCTCTGTGGTACTAGGGATTGAACCCAGGGCTTTTGCCCTGAGCTACCTCCCCAGGCCACTTTTTGAGACATGGTTTAGCTAAATAGCCCAGGCTAGCCTCAAATTTTTGATTCTCCTGCCTCAGTCTCCCAGAGTGCTAGGATTACCACACTCAGGTTTGGGTTTTTTTAGTACATTTTGCAATACATAATGATTACATGCCTCATGGGGTACGTGTACATAACACATCTCAATTTCTTTATCATCTCCCCTCCCTTCGTCTCTTAGTCCTCTTCCCTTTTGCAAAAATCTATCTTCCTATTATGTTTTACTTTGCTCTTTATTTATATTTTGTGTTTCTCGTTTAAGAGATCATGTGTGTG